ATCTAGAAGATAATAAGGTGATAAGTAACAGTCAGCATGACTGAACAAATCTTGTCAAACCAACCTGATAGCTTTCTTTGACAGGGTAACAAGACTTGTGGATAGTGGGGAAGTGGGAGATGTGGTATCTGTACTGTTTTCTTTTTACTTCAACATCATCTTAATAAAAGCTTTTGATACTGTCTCGTATGACATAAACAAACTAGCGAAAGGCAACCTAGATGGAGCTACTATAAGGTGAGTGCATAACTGGTTGGAAAACCGTTCCCAGAGAGTAGTTATTGGTGGTTCACAGTCATGCTGGAAGGGCATAATGATAGGGGTCTCGCAGGGATCAGTTCTGGGTCCAGTTCTGTTCAGTATCTTCATCAATGATTTAGATAATGGGATAGAGAGTACACTTATAAAGTTTGTGGACAATACCAAGCTGGGATTGGAAGGGGTTGCAAGTGCTTTGGAGGGTAGGATTATAATTCAAAATGATCTGGACAAACTGGAGAAATGGTCTGAAGTAAATAGGATGAAAGTCGATAAGGACAAATGCAAAGTACTCCGCTTAGGAAGGAACAATCAGTTGCACACATACAAAATGGGAAATGACTGCCTAGGAAGGAGTGCTGTGGAAAGGGATCTGGGGGTCATAGTGGACCACAAGCTAAATATGAGTCGACAGTGTAACACTGTTGCAAAAAAAGTGAACATCATTCTGGGAAATATTAGCAGGACATGAGAAATAATTCTTCTGCTCTACTCTGTGCTGATTAGGTCTCAACTGGAGTATTGTGTCCAGTTCTGGGTGCCACATTTCAGGAAAGATGTGGACAAATTGGAGGAAGTCCAGAGAATAGCAACAAAAATGCTTAAAGGTCTAGAAAACATGACCTATGAAGGAAGATTGAAAAAAACTGGGTTTCTTTAGTCTGGAGAAGAGAAGACGAAGAGTGGACATGATAACCGTTTTCAAGTACATAAAAGGTTGTTACAAGGAGAGGGAGAAAAATTGTTCTTCTTAACCTCTGAGGATAGCACAAGAAGCAATGGGCTTAAATTGCAGCAAGGGAGGTTTAGGCTGGACATTAGGAAAAACTTCCTAACTGTCAGGGTGGTTAAGCAGTGGAATAAATTGCCTAGGGAGGTTGTGGAATCTCCATCATTGGAGATTTTTAAGAGCAGGTTAAACGAACACCTGTCAGGGATGGCCTAGATAATATTTAGTCCTGCCATGAGTGCAGGGGACTGTGAACTAGATTATCTCTTGAGGTCCCTTCCAGTCCTAGGATTCTATGATGCAGGAGAAGTCTGTCCTGTACATTTCTCCATTAATGACCCGCACTGACACACCAACCCTTCTGTTGCCTTTGGCTAACTGGGGAATATCTGCCTCTTCCAATTTGCTGTCACTCACACACTAAAGAATCACTAAACACTTTGCTGCCCCTAGGTGACCTGTTGGTTTTGTCTGGATGGGAGGACTGGCCTTGCATGTGGCTAATTCCTATTGTGCAGAATATTTACCCTCAGACTTCTTTACCATAATACACACACGCAGACAAAAAGGATCAGATGTGAACAATGGATGTAACAGAGATAAAAACAACGAGGGTCCAACTCACAGCCTGTCTGCAGAATGGGTGGATTCTGCCTTGGGAACTCAGAACAGACTTTCAATAGCACCATTAAAATCAAACTTAATTTGCGTGATGTGAAGAATTTCCCTTGTCACCCAGTTGAGCTCACAAACACCTTCACGCCGAGTACAGGAACCAATAAGAGATTTGTCAATGTAGGCTCTATTCTGTACTCTAATCTCTTAGGCCTGTTGAGGGTCAGCCTCTAAAACATCAAGAGGACTTGGACCACCCTCTGAATTAGACTCAAAGTTTCTGGATCCAAATCAGGGGGTTCATGATTTCAGAATGTATTTCCCTTTATCTTTCTGTCCTTCTGTCTTTTTTCCTATTCTCTTATTTTTGGAAATAAACCAATAAAATATAAATAAAAAAGTGTATTTCCCTAAAAACATCCAGGGACCAGTAGAGTTGATCAGAGCTTTGAGTGTTTTGCTGTGATGCAACAAAGCAGTGTTTGGTAGGGATTTTCTTTAATGTAGTTCCAACTCCCTAATTCATCAATCCCCAGTCATCAATTTAATGTTATGGATTAGGGTGAAAGAGGACAGGATCTCATGTACCATAGTGTTGGTTGCAGAATAAGAACATAGGCAGATAGATAGAAGTGATTTTGATTTATGCTACAGGTAGACAGTTACGAATACCAGAGTTATGAACTGACCAGTCAACCACACACCTGATTTGGAACTGGAAATATGCAATCAGGCAGCGGCAGGGAGAAGAAAAAAAAAAGATGCAAATACAGTACATTACATTGTGTTAAACGTAAATTACTAAAACAAAAAAAAGGGAAAGCAGCATATTTCTTCTGCATAGTAAAGTTTCAAATCTGTATTAAGTCAATGTTCAGTTGTAAAGTTTTGAAAGAACAACCGTAAGGTTTTGTTCAGAGTTACGAGCAACTTCCATTCCCGAGGTGTTCGTAACTCTGTGGTTCTACTGTATATATGCTCCTGTTCCAGCAAAGCATATGCTTAACTTCAAGCATGTGAGTAAATCCATTGACTTCAACAGCACCACTCATGCTTAGAGTTAAGTCAGTGTTTAAATATGTTGTTGGATTGGGACCTATATGCTCTGAGGTTTGTCATTTTATTTTGTCAGGCTTACACTTACGGACAGTAGTCCTGTGGTAGTGTTGCAGATATTGTCTTAGCAGCAGCCTTCTTGCTGTCATAATTGTTCTATCAGGCCTGTCAGACAGTATGCCGTGGAAGGTATCTTCTCCATTGCAGGAGGAGATCACAGTGAGTGGGGTGTGTGTTGCGGTGTGGGGGGTGCAGGAACAGCAGTATCATGATCTATCAGTAGGAACTAAAACCACGAGATTAAGGCAAATAGATGTGGGATTAATATTAAAAACAAAAGCTATGATCACGAGCAGCACTGGAAGCTCATAGTACTGGGAAGATACAAAATGAAATCTCTGTTGAGAATTCATTAAAATTAACCTTCAACTTTGGGAGGGCTCCTCTCAGGCCTGTATAGACCAATGGATAGAGCCTGTGCTGTGGGGCCAAAGTTTGACAGAATCTGGTCTGTGGTTAGAGACAGCATTTCTTCCTGGATCCAACCCTGCAAATAATTTTCTTAACACATAATATATTATTATTCTTAATCTTGCATTTCATTACTAAAGTGACTAACATCTAATAAATGTACGTAATGAACAAAAATAAATTGTATCGTAGCCTTGTGTGTCAGATTTTGTGCAACTAGGTTGTTAGAGCTGGTGGAAAAAGCTGACAAATTTTCACAGACCATTGTTGAAAGTTTTCCATCCAAATCTCAACCATTCTATGAATGGGTTGGAAAAGAAAAAGGATGAAAGATTGAAAAAATTGGGGGTTTTCTGTGAAAAATGTTTGTTGTATTTTGGAAAATTTGAAAAAGTTCAACCACCATTATGTGCTGTAATGTGGTAGATAACCTTCCTCATAAACACAGGCACCTTTATAGGCTGTCCATTTTCCCATACTGAGAACCCTAAATTTTCACTTTGGTGTAAAATGCCCTTTTATATCCCAACCTAAGTGGCATTCTGAGTATCCAAAAGCTTGACTGGAACACCCTATTACAGTGTGGTCCTCCTCTGAAGAATGCCTGTATTAAAATGGCACCTTTTTTTACCCTAATCCTGCAGTGGCATCTGCCTGAACTCAATTAAGCTCCTTGCGGGGTCTGGGGTCTGCTTAGGTTGATGTCATCATGGCAGGACCACGGTCTTATTCAAGAGACCTGTTCTCATTGTGTATCAGAGTCCTATCTGCTGACATTCATAGTAAAAACCAGTTGATTCAAAGATAGAGTGTGCTTTGGATTCTGACCCATCTTGGGCATGATCAACAGTAGGGGTTACTAAATTCCAGGTAGTCACATCTGGATAAACCTGTTACTGGAAATGTGATTGCACAGGTATCACTTAGGGTGTAATCTGAAGACCACACAGTTACACAGAGATAGCTGTGGCCCTAATATGTCCTGAAGAGTTGGAGATACTGGTGATGATAAGCTAGGTGGAAGGACAGCAGCTTGACACCCAGAGCCCAGGCTGGGTCTGCAGGGCTGGCGGTTAGAGAAAACAAATTTTCCTTGGCAAACAGATCTGATTTGGATTGAAAATCACTGAGACAGTCAACAGGAGCCTCACGGTCACATTTTCATAGCCAGGTCAGACAAGAACAGGACTTAGGGTTCTCCTGTTTGAAAGCTGCACTCCCTGTTATAGATGCGCTCACAGGGCAGAACTGGGATCCTGATCTGGGATTGTGAAGACACCCTCGTTTAGGGCGCTCACATGCGGGGTTTTGGCTCAACCCCGTATTTAAGTGAGCATTTTCAAAATTCAGAGCAGGATTTAGGTTCAAATTTCCAGCACCCGGAAGATGCAGGAGCCTGTGGAGCCGGAGGCCCACTTCTCAGCAGGCCATAGAGCTAGTTCCATGTATGACATCCGCTGAAGATCTAGCCCCGGCTTAGGGTGATCTGGCTACTCCGTGTCCGTCTGTCTATCTTCCTCCCTACTACAGAAACGTCAGACTCGTCTTCCAAAGGAAGGAGGAGAGCTGGGAAGCAAGTGCTAAGCTGTCCGCAGGACGCCGCAGGCAGGCGGGGACTTCCCCAGCCAGTGACCCGGCAGTGTGACGGCTGAGAAGAGTTGACGCTCTCCGGACACGCAGCGAGAAGCTCCCGTCCCCAGAGCCCGGCTGGAGCAATGAGGGCACGGCCGGGTGCGCGATGCCCGCTCCGCACCGCCACTGCCCGTGCCGCCGCTGTCCCGCCTGCCCCGCTCCTCCCGGCTCCTCCCTAGCTCAGCCGGCCGGCGCTGATTGGCTGCCTCTGAAAGGCGGCGCCGGAGCATCCAGGACTTAGGAAGCCCGGGGAACCGGCGGCGCGGTCAGCCGGCGGGGGAGCTGCTGGTCCGTGCGCTCGTGGCTGGCCAGCAACTTGGCTGGGAGCGGGGCCAGCGAGCGGCGCCTGCCCGAGGGGAGCGGGCTGTGGGACAGGCCGGGGAGGCAGCCAGCCCGCGGGAGGATGCAGACGGCCGCGTAGGGAGCTGGGCCATGCCCCGGGGGGCCAGGCTGCGCACACGGCAATGGTAAGGCGCCGCTGCCCTGCCCGGGGTGCAGCCCCGATCCTGCCAGGGTCCCTTAGTGAGCGCCCGGCCCGCGGAGACCTGCCTCCCCGAGGGGCGCGAAGGGCCGTCGGGCTGTCGTCGGGCTTTCTCCGTCTGCCCCGCGCGCCGGAGGGGCAGGGATGCGGCGTGGGGCCGGAGTGGCTCCGGAGGCAGTGGCGGAGTCTGTCCGGGGCACGTGCTCCGAATTAGACTTGGGGTGGCGGGACTGTGGGTGTGCGGCGGACAGGAGGAGCTCTCCCACGGGGGCAGACTTTGAACTTGGCCGCCTGCCGGGTCAGTTCCGCGTCCCTTTCACACTGAGGAACAAACACCCCATCCTCCGTGGGGAGGGCAGCTCCCTCCGGCCCGGGCAGGGGGCCGAGCCAGTGCGCTCCTGGGGCATTTCCACCTCCAAGAGTTGCGGCAAGACAACTCCGCTTTGTAGCTCTGATTCCGGCTCACGCGTGCATCCCCCGATTGATTCACGGCAGGAGGATACAATACAGAGAACTAATGCTCGAGGGACGAAGAAGCACAAGCCAGGAGCTGTTTTCAGCCGGCGTTTGAGAGCAGGGCTAGGCTCGCTGAAGCGGGGAACTAGGGGGAGGGCTGATCCACCACCTGGCAGGAGCTGTAGAGGAGACGGCTCTGGCCCCAGTAGTGACCAGACTGCGTGGAGAAGTGGCCCGTTCGAGTTGGGCAGAGAGTAGGGAGGAGACTGGCTGGTGCAAGCCCCGGAAAAAGGGGGCCACGGTTCTCCTTGCCACTTGGTGCTACTCAGCAGTGGCACGGGCGTTGGAGAGAAGGTGTCTCTCTCTCTTGCGCTCCGGCTTCTAGTCTTATCTGAGTCCGAGGGTGAGAAGTTGGTGCATCGCCTTGCTCTTGGAGCCTGCGAAGCCCTAACCGCGGGTTGATTTCCTTGCAGCGTGAAGCAGGAGTGTAGCTGAGCCGTGAGGGAGGACACTGTCCTTGATCAGAATGCCATAGGCAACGGAGTAAATGCCTTTACGGGGTCTCCGTTGTTCCTGGCCTTAAAATATTCCATCAGTAGATGCACTTTGTCCAAGAGACTGTGGCTAACAGTCAACCCACTGCAACATATTGCCCTCTCTGCCCAAAACACCCCAGAGGCAACAAGTGCTTTTAGTCTGAGGAGCTCAGGGGGACACTTTTCAGTCTGACTGTGTTTGATAGGGTGTATTCTGAACAACCATGATGTTACTAATCTCTGATTACCGGCTAGATACCACAGCATGTGTTACCGGGCCAAGTTTATTATTATGAGGTTACAATAGCAAATCACCACCAGACTTTGTATATGAGTATAATTCTTAAATCTCTAAGCTTCATGGGCCAAATTGATCTGCCAGATAAACCCAATGAAGTCAGTGGAGTTACACCAAGAAAGAATTGATCTAATTTTGTCTGATTTTATTGGTCAAGGTTTATAGAATTGCATATGTAAAAATACTGTCATAGTGATTGTACATGCATAGGGAAAGCTATCTAATTAGTGATTGTCTGGGCAAATGCCTACAACTACAGGTGCAAGGTTTGTGTCTATAATTTTGGGCACAAACTACAAATCCAGTCTATTGCTTATATGGTGCCAGAAGACTGACTTAAATGGCAAAGCAATAGAAGGTGGAAAGTACAAGTTTAAATGGCATGTACTACTTGATGGAAGGAGATCTCTCTAGCCATTTTGTACTGCCTTCGATCACCATAGTGTCCAGGTACCTCCCCCAGGTTAATGAATTGTTATAGCAACATCCCCTGGTACCCTTGACTTGATGTCACTGAATGTGTCTGCTAATATTTTCAGTCAGCTGGAATTGTTAGTAATGATCCACGTGAAGGTGAGGCACCTGTGACTGTCTGTTATCTGGCAACAGCAGTAGAGAATGCAGATGGTGTATCAAGGAGTGTGCAGAGAAAGAGGGGTTTGCTGGGCTCTGCTGGAGTTGATAACCTTCATTTAATTAAGCTTATATTAGAATTGCTGTTGCTTGCTTGAGGGATCAATGTTTTCTGGTGAGTAATGGTGCTATTGGAATTAAAACAGCTTTCTACTTTGACAATTACATCCACAGAGAAGGGCTTTCCATGGTGTTTGGATGTGATAGGGCAAACCTGTGGTCACTGCAAACTCCTGTGACTGAAGGCAGGGCTTAGTACTCTCCAAGTCAGACTCCACATCACCAAGGACCTAAACTAAAGTCATGTGTGGGTGTCTTTCCATTCACTCCAGTGGGCTTTGGATCATGTCCTAAGAGCATGGCCACTTCATGGATCTGAGCGTTGTGAAGAGAGAGTATCTATCTCCTTCCGTGGATGTTCTCTCTGTGAGAGAGACTGAATAACTGGAGCATGAGGAGCCCCTTCTGGAGAGCAGCTTGAGAGAGGTTGAGTTTGAACTGGCAGTTTTCTTTAACCACAGAGCCATCTTTTATGGCTCCAAAACAACTTTCCCCCATGGAAAGTTCATAAAGTCTGAGGAATTAAACATGCAGCTGCAGTTTTTGGCTGCATCAGTGCAGTCAGCAGAAGATAAGCTCTAGTTTATCAGGTCTGAGCACTGAAATGAAGGGGTGGCAGCTAACCTGGGTTGGCTCTGTGGAGCATGTGATGTCATGACTTCTTCATTTCTCTTATTTCATGGAAGGAAGTGGACAAAGCTTTACGTGAATATAATCTTGTGTTTAATTAGGGGACAAGGAAAGATTTAATTACTCAATCACTTTGGCAGCTGACTGCAGTTGCCAGGGATAGAGGAGACTGTGCACTGGTTTTGATAAAGGTTACTAGGTTTTATTGTTTCTGAATGATGACTCTGTTCCCAAATCCACTCCAAGGAACTGGCTGCAGTCAGGTCTGAGATTCAGTCCGTAATGAAGGTTGTCTTGCAGTCTGCATAAGGCTGTGAAATACCAAGGAACTGAAGAGTTCACATTGTACAGCACCTAAAGCCCACAAATGGGCTTGGCTGCTGCATCTCTTCTCCACTTTAAAAGCTGAAAGGACCACTGATCGGATTTCCCTGTAGCATTCCCTCCAGGAGGGGGAACTCACGCTATCCTCAGTGGTTAGCACTATATCCTTTGTCTCACAGAAAAATGTGCATACACTACACATGTTGGTTGATTTTTAACTAAAGATTTGATAAACTTGTCAATTTCCTTTCAAATAGTTGATTACTAGGGACAGATCTAACTGTCTGTGATCCTCATGGTTTTGTAAACAATGACTTAAAAGTGAGAAGAGAGTAGTTCACGGACATCTCTTGCTCATTTATTCAAAATACCCTAGGATGTCTCCAAACAGTGCACTGTGCTAATGTATGCCAATTCTATTCCTGTATCCATTGCCCTGGTGTCTTCCCTCCCTTTGCCCCCCCCCCTCGACTACAAGGTGGTCTACATCCACCTGTCACCACTTGTACCTATTTAGGATCTCATGTGCTACCCTTATTCACGTTGTCCTGCTCTCCATGAGTTGTCCCTTGGAAATCTACAGGACTGCTTGGAGAGTCGGGTACTAACCAACATGAGTAAAGGTGACAGAAGCAAAACCCTTGATTGTAAGCTCTTTGGGGCAGGGACTGTCCTTTATATCTGTACATAACCAGTGACCCCTTTTTACTGGGCTAAACCAATACATTTAAAACAAAGTTTAAACTTCTTCCCATGACTCATCATAAGTCTATGGAACTCAGTGTCACAAAGTGTTATTGAGCAAAGACCTTGGTAGGATTCAAGGAGCCAGATCCACAGCTGGTGTAAATCTGCAGAATGTCAATTGATTTCAATGGAATTGTGCCAATTTAAACCAGCAGAACATCTGGCCCAAAGAGTTTAGTAATGATTTATATGAATAATACCTCCAGCAATTGTAATCCTAGCTAGTTTAATCTACCACACCTATAAACCCTCATGTGTCAGGGCATAACTCAACCACTACCCTCCTTGGGGTTAGGAAGAAGCTCTGTAGACTGCTCCATAATTATCCACTTCAGATTTTCTTGCACCTCCCTCTGAAGCATCTGGTACAGACCACTGTCAGATAAGATAGCCGATTAAAGGGATCATGGTATGAGCCACTGTGACCATACCTGTGTTCCTTTGTTCAGCTTGTTAGGTAATGTCCCAAACTTAAAAACAAATCTGCCTCAGAGGTCCCCAGATTCCAGGTAACATGGCTCTAGGGAAATGGGCTGTCTATTGAAATTAAACAAAGATAGATGCCTATCTAGAAACCTTGTTTTGCATTTTGTCACTTTGCCTGGAAAAAAAACAACCTTGCTTAGAAAGGCAGTGGGACAAGAATACAAGAATTAGTCTAACCGAGGGAGTATTTCCATTTCTCCTAATAGTTGCTCTATCTTTAGATAGTCAGTTATATTTTAACTCACCCCCTTTCTTTGCCTCAGCTCTGCTCTCATCGATCTGATGCCCTCTCCTTTATGGCTTATGTAGGAAAATAACCTACATAGTGGTAAAAGCGTCAGAGTCCTGTGGCACCTTTTAGACAGATGTATTGGAGCATAAGCTTATGCACCAATACATCTGTTAGTCTATAAGATGCCACAGGACTCTGCTGCTTTTACAGATCCAGACTAACATGGCTACCCCTCTGATACTTGACATACACGGTGGTAATTTTTGAGTTGGATTCTTGTGAAAAGTGGATTCTAAAAGGTAGGAAGGTGTCCAGTTAATTGGATTGTGACCTATTGACTGCCACTATTCCATATAATCTTTTACCTAAGTTGCCGCTGGTGTAAATTAGTGTCCCTCCATTAGGGTTAGGCTTAGACCCATATGCTCAGTGGAAGTCAATGGGACTTGTGGCAATATCCTGTCTGATACATTTTCATGCTAAAAATAAATATTGCAATGGTCTCTATTTTTTTTCCTTGTTAGTCTCTGTTCCCTAGGGTGCCCTTTAGTCTCATGACACCTTCCACTACAAATACCTTGGTT